TCTGTCTCCATTTCCCCTTCTTTTTTTCTCTTTTCCCTTTCCATCCATTCTCTCTCTGCCACATCTCCCGTTCCATTGAGGTCCATGATCAAATCCTTGAGGCATCGTTCCTCTTGAATTCTATCCAAGTTGAGCGTTGGATCCTCGGTGAAAACTTTGGCCGATTTCTTTTTCATTTTGAGTGTGTGTCATCTGTTGTCCGATGGGGGGTAGATGTCGGTTCTCCCTCCATGATCCAGACCCAATCTGGATTTGGTAGGTTGTCATTAAAGACCCATCCAATGTACTGAGCGCTCCTCACATACCAAAAGCCTGACTCCCCTTCCACTTCAGCCAGGCTTGTTTGTCTCAACACCTTGGGCTTGGCTGTCTCGATGTTCTTTGGACAGCTTGGGTCTGTACCCAAATGGCATCTTTCAAGGCTCTTTGCCTGCACTTGAAGCACAACGGATTACTTTTGGACGAAACTGTCACTTTGACTGTTCAGTCCCTTACCTAAAAGAACCAGTGGTCAAGTAGTTGTGGAGGGAATCCATTGCTTAAATCCAAGCACACATTCATCGTGTTGTGCTGTGGGACTAGGAAATCTGGTGTTGCCATGATCCAATGGACCACTTTGAATTATCCTTATCCCATCTGCAATCTTTGTTTGATTACCCCGTGCAACCCTTCGAGAACATTATCAAATTGCACCCAGAAGTATTTTTTCATCAAATTGTCTGAAGCGTGAAGGTGTCATCTGGAAGGGAGTATCTGGTTTCTATGGGTGGACTGTGACAATTGAGGAATTGCAGGTGAACGTTTTGTTCGTCAAAAAATCCGCATATGATGGGTCTTAACAGATGACCATGATCACATTCCTGGTCCGCGGATGAAAGCATACTTTCGGTTCGTTTCCCTGTATTGATTCCTTGGCCTTCAGTTCCTCCCACATCCATTTGAGCTTGGCCAGGCGATTTAGCTCCTGGCTTTTCATGGAGAAGGTGAAGAGGACTGCATGTTTCTCATGGAATTCGTCTAGTTTCGGGATGCGTTCTTTTGGGTATTCATATACCACGACTTCCTCCTTCCTATTTTCTTCCACTTCAACCAGTTTCACAGTTTTCACCATTTGCACCTTTGTTTGTTCCACCAGCCTGTTCTGGGTCTCAATCCCCATACCCTCCATTTTGTTCCTCTTTCCTGTGTAGTTCTATTAAGCGCTGAGTGAGATTGTTTCCTGATGTGGATGATGAGGGAATGCTTTGGTGCAAATGCAGATGTATCTCTGTTCTGGCCCCAGTTGCTTCTACATGATATCTCTATTTGGGAACAAGTTGGAAGTGTGCGAGAAGGATGTTTGAGAGTACAAGACGAGAAGGTGCACTGCGAGCGGATGAATTCAATCCATTTGACAAGCACTGGGACTCGAAAAAAGTAGGAAAATTAACTAATCGGATCCTGATCAATCGGGTGTAATAACTTCAACTGGTGTTAAAACAAGCTTGAATTGAAAAAAATTGAAGTTCTTTATTGAAAACAATCAAGTTGATCAACAAATAAAATTTTAATGAATTAAATTATATTGTGAGGAACGAGCCCTCAAGGAGCCCTGTCAGACATCACATGTTCTGGGCTAAGGCCCCAGCAAGCCAAGTGCCCGCCCTAAGTGAAGGAGGGCCTGAATATTCGTCAAAGGCCAAATTTCAACATTTCCATATGTGGGTATTCAGGCTCTCGCAGCACGCCAGTTGGTTGGGCAGACGCGTGAGCCATACTAAGCTGCGTCGTACAGTTGGCCCAGGCCTTGACAGTTGCGCCTGGGCACATACACGCAAAGCAGGGCCGATACATTGGGAAGCAGGCCATCGGCCTTTGGAAAAGCAGAACTGCTGCCGCACCTACCTGGGGGCCCTGCATAGATGCAGCAAACAGCCCAAGTCCGGAAACTCACACCGTGCCCAACTGAAAAGGGCCCAGGCCCTCAACTGTAGTCTCGGGCCTGGGCGCAGGGTCTGAGGCCCAACCGGAAGTTACTGGAAGCTTCCAGCCACGCCACACGCAGCATCCAGGAGGCTGCCACTTCCACAAAAGGAGTAGGGCAGTCCAGGCCAGATATTCTGGCCAGTGCAGGCAATGCGGAAGTGCTGCTGCGCTATCGCTTGCTGCTGCCAAGGGCGCTGACGGGGTGCGTAGTGGTGAAGTGGGGCGCTGCAGGGCAGCGGGGCGCAGGCAGCCATAGACGGGCTGCTGGGCACCAGGGGGTACAGCGGGTGATCTTGTGGTCTTCAGGGAAGGAGGCGCAGTGTGGGGTTATCAAGGTCTGATTGAGGGTGACGGGATACGTACCTGGTGCATGAAGAGAGGTCGGCTATGGTTGACACTCATGTACATTGGTCTTTGAGTGTCGAAGTGGGCCTGTTGCGTGAACACAGCTGTAGGTAGGATAGTCGGGTAGAGTAGGCTGGGCGCTGGGCGTCAGACAGAGAAGAGCGACTTTGGATTCTGTGTTGGTGTGGCCTACGGGCTTGGACATTGACTCATTACTTCATTGTACTGCTCTATATGGAGTTTTCTCGGTGCATTTGTACTCTCTACTTGGACACGACTACTTGGACATCTGTGTGATTTCGCAACTTGGTTTTCTGTATATCATTCACACTAGTGTTATGCTTTTAACGGGACCCTTCGAGGACCCAGGAAAGGGGACCACTTCCTTAAAAGTATTCCGCAGCTTTTCCTATGCTTAAGCCCTAAACCCTAAACCCTACCTTCCACCTACTTTCTGCCTATTTTCTGTCCTGCTCTTCTACTTCTTCCACCTTATTTCCTTTAAACAATGCCTGTTTTTGTTGCCTTCGCTATTCCTACTACTTCTTCTAATTCCCATCTAACCTTTCTGTCCTCTATTTAAAATTTAAATACCAATTTAGGGCCCTGACTGGCGTTACCGTGGTGTCAATCGTGCCACAGTGCCTTCCCTCCCGTAAGATCCCAGAAACCATAGAATACATATTCCTGCAGTGCCCGGGGCCACTCCTCACATGGCGATGGTGGGACATCATCTGGAGCCTTTTGAGCACTGGGTCTACCTGGCCATGGGATTGGACGGCGATACTATGTGAGGCATGGGCCTCCCCCTCGGGCAACACCTTCGAAAACAACATGTTTAAGACAGGGAGGAGAGCTGTTATGTGGGCCCTCTGGAGGAAACACTGTATACATGCCATTGAGGGAGTCCGCATAGCAGGGAAGAGGTGACAGACATGATAAAGCAATATATACATCAAGAACTCATCGTGCAGTGGCAGAAAGTTGAAAATCAACTGGATCTGTTTCATTCACAGGAGGACATAATACAAGCAATCCAACAATTCTCAGGGGACTGGTTGGGCAGTGAGAGTGGGGGCCGGATTGCCCACGTCAGATGGGACAGCGGCCTTGCTCCGGGCCGCAACCAGGAGGACTTCAGGAGGGACTAATGTATCTGCTTCAAGGACTGGACTGCGGTGGATCAGGAGATCCCGCTGCGTCCACCTTCAGAATTTCCTGATCCCACCCGCCCCAGCTGGCTATGGTGGACATGCAGTGGTATGGTGCAGACTAAGCAGGGTTACAGTTTTGGAGATCACAGGTTATGCTGGCATACTGCTCTGCAGTGGGAATGAGTCAGGCCATGGCAAGAGCATGAATGGGCTAATGGAGGATGCCCAGCAGCAGCTCGAGGAAATGTGGAGCATCAGACTGGGGGCCGGCCGCACTGGGCAAGCTACTGTGGAACAGGAAGAAGGGAGACGGGCTGCTCGACTCAACTGCCACTCGATAGCTGGCCACGGGAGGTCATATCATTTAGAAAAGAAGGGTGGAGACGCTAGGGAGGTGAGCTCAATCTGGCGGCCTGGTCCAGGTCGGAGAGGTGGCTCCACGTCCAAAAGTTTGCTGTTCCCGGTTCTTGCCTATCTTACTACCTTCGCAGTTAATCCCCGGTAACAGGGCACTCAATGCTGGCAGGCATAGTTGCGGCACACCTCGGTGCGCAGATTTGCGCACGCGTCGCACACCGCACCGTGCTCCGCAGTGGAAAAATTAAGGTCCGGAAAAAAGAAAAAAAAAAGTACGGGTTTTGTAATTTCTTAGCCCCCCCCCCTGGGCAAAAATGTTCAACTCACCGCGCGAGTTTGGAAACGGGCCGCGCCCCAGGCCCAATTTGTTTTTTTGGGGCAAGGGCTGCTGCCAAATTTCGAATTCGGCAGCCCCTCCCCCAAAAATTTTGAAATGGCGGAACATGAAAATAGGGCTCATTCCAGTTTCAAACTAGCCTTACCCCTCCCTTTCGTAAATCCCACACAGTCGGAGTAAGTGGAATGCCGCACCGAAGGAAGAAACAAACCAAAAAAGGTAAGAATACCACTCCCCCAGTCTCGTCGCGAAAGAAGGGGAAGCCGGACAAGAAGCCTGTAAAGAGACTATCGCCTCCTATCGAACGGGGAAAGAGTGTCTTTCAAGAGAGAGGTTGCGGAAGTCGACGGATCAAGGCTTGTCTCTCCCTCCAAGTGGTTTCCTCTCTGAACAGTCGGAGATAGAAGGGAACAATACAGAAGCAACTGTCCTTCCCGAACCCCCTACGGATAACAGATCAGCATTAGGTCACAGGTCTTCACGTAAAAATCCCATCACGCCACAGTGGTCATAGGAAGAGCATAGGAAGTACCAAGGCACAGTCAAAGAGAATGGCCCACTGCTGTAGATCCCGCCAGCAACCCGACTATCACGGACCCACAGTGCCTCTGGCACATACCGTTCATGGCACTAATAGACACAGCGATTTAAACAGGGATAGAGGAAATAAAGAATTTAAATTAAAAACGAACGACAATGCCATTCACATCAGTCTGGCCCCTAACCTTATTGTACCCGACAGGATTTGAAATCTGAACCCCTGGTCTGTTTTTCAACAATCATATGTGGGTAGCTGCCCAGCCCAATACCAATCAGGGCCCCAGGTGGGACTGAGAGCTGACCTTTGTTTTAGCAATACTCAAGATATCATCCTCGCCGTCGAATGACAATGCCATTCCTGGCAGTCCAGCCACTGGAGTGTCGTTGAAGTTGCTTGTCAGGCGAACTTGTACTGTTGCCGCCAGAGATTGCAAGCCGTGCTCATCCGTTACCGTGTACTGGAATTGATCTATCACAAGGCCTGCCTGACCTGGAAGAGGTGCATTGGCTTGTGGAACGTACACCACACGCTGGCACCGCCCTGCTGGCAGACGCTTCGGCAGCATGTTCAGCTGAAGTCGTCATCATCAACAGCAAAACGGATGAACAAGTTGCAGCCCACCCACAACAAACAAGAGCATAACATACAAGCAAACGTAAGAGACATTTGTAAAAGACCCGGACGGGTCACAAGTTCCAGTCACTACGAAAGATGAGCAAACAAAGTAGGGGGATTTCTGAAAAACATAGGTCAAGTTCCCGGTCAACGAAAGAGCAAGCAGCATGCTTGACTGGAGTCGCCAACAGGAAAAAAAAAAAAAAGAAATGGGAAAAAATTGCAGTCAGTAGCATACAATCAAACATTAGGGGTACTTTTGAAAAACACGGACATTGGACAGGTTGCATGTTCCAGTGAACAAAAGACGACCTAAGAAGGTAGGGGCATTTGTGAGAAATACAGGTCAAGTTCTCAGTCAACAAAGGAGCCAATTTTTTTTAAGAAAAGAAGTGGCAGAGTGGTAGACTGCGGCACCACAGTCTGTACGCGAAGAGCATAGGTGACCTGGAGTCAAGCATTCACATTAGGAGTAGGGCAATAATGGACAAACTTCCACATCAGTCTGCAAACATTCACATGCCCACACAATGAAAATTCAAAACAGACTTCTGAGAGTTCAACCTCCAAAATTCAAAACCTTCTCCTTCATGCTCCTGGCTGACCTCACAACCCACCATAGCCAGATCTTCCCGTCATGTGACAGGCAACGTAGGATCCTTCGACTTTCCATCCGCCCACACGGACTCGTCAGGAAGGAGTACTCTCACGGGTACTTCTGCCAAAAGAGAGGCCACTGGCCTTGCCTCTCCTGTATATATATTATTCACCTATTCGAACGTGCTACCATACTGTTTTTTCCCGTAAATCTGAAACACAAAACCTCTCGGTACGAGCCCCCCACTGTAATTCAAAATCCCGAAAACGAACTAAATTCTGAGTGGGGATCCGGGCCGCCCGGGTGACCGGCAGGGGCCAGGGGGAGGTCCCGGACGGCCTGGCCGGGCGCGGCACCCGGTTGGGGGCCCGGCCCCCCC